CGCCACAGCGCGGTGTCCCCTCAGTGTCCCGGTGTCCCCTCCCTGTCTCGGTGTCCCCTCATTGCCCCGGTGTCCCCTCAGTGTCCCGGTGTCCCCTCAGTGTCCCCTCACGCTGGCAGCCCAGTCCTCATTCCTGCCGGGCACTCTCCTGTGACGCCACAGCGCGGTGTCCCCTCAGTGTCCCGGTGTCCCCTCCCTGTCTCGGTGTCCCCTCATTGCCCCGGTGTCCCCTCAGTGTCCCGGTGTCCCCTCAGTGTCCCCTCACGCTGGCAGCCCAGTCCTCATTCCTGCCGGGCACTCTCCTGTGACGCCACAGCGCGGTGTCCCCTCAGTGTCCCGGTGTCCCCTCCCTGTCTCGGTGTCCCCTCATTGCCCCGGTGTCCCCTCAGTGTCCCGGTGTCCCCTCAGTGTCCCCTCACGCTGGCAGCCCAGTCCTCATTCCTGCCGGGCACTCTCCTGTGACGCCACAGCGCGGTGTCCCCTCAGTGTCCCGGTGTCCCCTCCCTGTCTCGGTGTCCCCTCATTGCCCCGGTGTCCCCTCAGTGTCCCGGTGTCCCCTCAGTGTCCCCTCACGCTGGCAGCCCAGTCCTCATTCCTGCCGGGCACTCTCCTGTGACGCCACAGCGCGGTGTCCCCTCAGTGTCCCGGTGTCCCCTCCCTGTCTCGGTGTCCCCTCATTGCCCCGGTGTCCCCTCAGTGTCCCGGTGTCCCCTCAGTGTCCCCTCACGCTGGCAGCCCAGTCCTCATTCCTGCCGGGCACTCTCCTGTGACGCCACAGCGCGGTGTCCCCTCAGTGTCCCGGTGTCCCCTCAGTGTCCCCTCACGCTGGCAGCCCAGTCCTCATTCCTGCCGGGCACTCTCCTGTGACGCCACAGCGCGGTGTCCCCTCAGTGTCCCGGTGTCCCCTCCCTGTCTCGGTGTCCCCTCATTGCCCCGGTGTCCCCTCAGTGTCCCGGTGTCCCCTCACTGCCCCGGTGTCCCCTCAGTGTCCCGGTGTCCCCTCACTGTCCCGGTGTCCCCTCACTGCCCCGGTGTCCCCTCACTGACCCGGTGTCCCCGTGTCCCCCCGGTGTCCCTGTGTCCCCCTGCGTACCGGTGTCCCCTCACTGTCCCGGTGTCCCCTCAGTGTCCCTGTGCCCCCTCAGTGTCCCGGTGTCCCCCCGGTGTCCCCTCAGTGTCCCTGTCTCCCCGTGTCCCCCTGTGTCCCGCTGTCCCCTCACGCTGGCGGGCCGCTGCCCATTCCCGCCAGGCGCTCTCCTGTGACCCCACAGCCCGGTGTCCCCTCAGTGTCCCTGTCTCCCCGTGTCCCCTCAGTGTCCCGCTGTCCCCCCGGTGTCCCCTCAGTGTCCCTGTGTCCCCTCGCTGTCCCCTCACGCTGGCGGGCCGCTGCCCGTTCCCGCCAGGCGCGCTCCTGTGACCTCCTGACCCCCACAGCCCAGTGTCCCCTCACTGACCCGGTATCCCCGTGTCCCCCGGTGTCCCCTCACTGTCCCTGTGTACCTGTGTCCCCTCGGTGTCCCGGTGTCCCCTCGGTGTCCCCTCACGCTGGCGGGCCGCTGCCCGTTCCCGCCGGGCGCGCTCCCGGCGCTCTCCGCCGCCTTCCTGCAGGTGGCGCTCGTCAGCGGCTCCGCGCGCGCGCTCGGCCTCTGCCTGCCGCCGCTAGGGGGCGCCTTCGGGGCCCCGGCGCGCGCCGCCGCCTGGGTGGGGTCCTGCCCCCTAGCGGCGCTGCAGCTCGGAGGTGACCCTCAGAGAATGACCCAGAACCCTTAAATCCTTGTGTAACCCCATAGAATGACCTAACATGCTCCCAAACATGACGTGGCCCCACAGAATGACCCAGAACCCTCACAAACCTCCCACGACCCCATAGAATGACCCAGAACCCTCCCAAACCTCCCACGACCCCACAGAATGGCCCAGAACCCTCTCAAACATCATGTGAGCCCATAGGATGACCCACACCCCTCCCCTGACCCCAGACCCTGACCCAGACCCCTCCCCTGACCCCACAGGATGACCCAGACCCCTCCCCTGACCCCATGCCCCATAGAATGACCCAGAACCCTCCCAAACCTCACATGGCCCCATAGAATGACCCAGAACCCTCCCAAACCTCACATGGCCCCATAGAATGACCCAGAACCCTCCCAAACCTCACATGGCCCCATAGAATGACCCAGAACCCTCCCAAACCTCACATGGCCCCATAGAATGACCCAGAACCCTCTCAAACACCATGTGACCCCACAGAATGACCTGGAACTGTCCCAAACCTCGTGTGACCCTCAGAGAATGACCCAGAACCCTTAAATCCTTGTGTAACCCCATAGAATGACCTAACATGCTCCCAAACATGACGTGGCCCCACAGAATGACCCAGAACCCTCACAAACCTCCCACGACCCCATAGAATGACCCAGAACCCTCCCAAACCTCCCACGACCCCACAGAATGGCCCAGAACCCTCTCAAACATCATGTGAGCCCATAGGATGACCCACACCCCTCCCCTGACCCCAGACCCTGACCCAGACCCCTCCCCTGACCCCACAGGATGACCCAGACCCCTCCCCTGACCCCATGGAATGACCCAGACCCCTCCCGTGACCCCAGAGCCTGATCCAGACCCCATAGAATGACCCAGACCCCTCCTGTGACCCCATGGAATGACCCAGACCCCTCCCCTGACCCCATAGGATGACCCAGACCCCATGGAATGTCCCAGACCCCTCTCCTGACCCCATAGGATGACCCAGACCCCTCCTGTGACCCCAGAACCTGACCCAGAACCTTCCCAATCCCCATGACCCCACAGCCTGACCCAGACCCCTCCTGTGACCCCATAGGATGACCCAGAACCCTTCCAACCCTCCCCTGACCCCATGGAATGACCCAGACCCCTCCCGTGACCCCACAGAATGTCCCAGACCCCTCCCCTGACCCCAGAGCCTGATCCAGACCCCACAGGATGACCCAGACCCCTCCCCTGACCCCATGGAATGACCTAGAACGCTCAACCCTTCCAACCCTCCCCTGACCCCATGTCCCCTGACCCCAGAGCCTGATCCAGACCCCACAGGATGACCCAGACCCCTCCGGTGCCCCCGGCGCCTGACCCAGCCCCGTCTCCGCAGGCCTGGGCTGGTCGCTGGCCTTCACGCCGGCGCTGGGCGCCGTGTCCCGCTGGTGGGGGGTAAAGAAACCTTGGGTGGGGGTTCCAGTTGGGTTGGGTGACCCCGAACCCATTGGGGGAGCACCCAAGGGTGGGTTAAGTGGTCGTGGAGGGGTTGGGTGACCTAGAACCCATTGGGAGGGCACCCAAGGGTGGGCTAAGTGGTCATGGAGGGGTTGGGTGACTTAGAACCCAAGGGGGGGTACAGAAACCTTGGGTGGGGGTTCCAGTTGGGTTGGGTGACCCAGAACCCATTGGGGGAGCACCCAAGGGTGGGCTAAGCAATCATGGATGGGTTGGGTGAGCTAGAACCCGTTGAGGAGCACCCAAGGGTGGGCTGGGGTCATGGATGGGTTGGGTGACCCAGAACCCATTGGGGGAGGCACCCAAGGGTGGGTTGGGGGTCATGGATGGGTTGGGTGACCCAGAACCCATTGGGGGAGGCACCCAAGGGTGGGTTGGGGGTCATGGATGGGTTGGGTGACCCAGAACCCATTGGGGGGGGCACCCAAGGGTGGGTTGGGGGGTCATGGATGGGTTGGGTGACCCAGAACCCCCCATGACCCCATTTTGGGGGGTTGACAGTGGGTTGCAATGGCGTTGGGTGACCTAGAACCTCCAGTTTTGGGGGTTCCAGACCCCCCAACGCCGCCATTTCCCCCAGGCTGGCTGCGCGACGTCACCGGCGACTTCACCGTGTCCTTCCTGGCGGCCGGCGCCTTCCTCCTGGCCTCGAGCCTCCTCATCCTCACCCTGCCCCGAGCCCCCCCCGAGC